TTGACAAGGTCACGCTTACCTAGATTGATTGGGCCATCCTATCCGCCAATGGCGCGATTTTGAATGCGGGCGGTTGTTCATTGGAACAACCAGTTGCCGCATTCTCAAAAAGTAAGGGTTTTATTGGTTAAACTTCCTGCACAACGTGTTTGTAAAGAGGTCAGTACCTACAAACATTCAAAAGGTTACAAGTACTATTCCAAATGTGCAAAGTTGAATAAAAGTAGAAAAGTTGAAATATAACGGTATGTGAGCTGTTAAAAAGAAAAAGAATATAGAAAATGGTTTAAGGGAGTCTGCGGTATGTATTTCAGCATGCATCCTACATTATTAGTAGACATTACTTTGGGTTCAATGGCCTGAAATTTTTCTCCTACAACCTACAATTGTGTGTACCGGAATCACACTGCCAAAAGAGCATTATTTCCAAGTGGCGGATAGGACGCTCCGAGCTTGATTCCTTAAAATGCCCAGGGATAAGGCGTTATGTGATATCTTGGATTCCTCTTTCTACAAGTCCCCATATCGTGATCGACGGAATGAGGTAACGAATGTTTTTTTACCTTGCGGTTTTTTGGTTGACACTGCTGCTCTTATTTCTGTAGTGGAGGCCGCAGACTTCTTTATAGGCTTTTCGAGATATGAATTTCTCTCTATAATTCCAAATGAAAGCATCAGAAGACGAAACTTGCAGATGACACTGTCATTAGTGCATAATAATCAGCTGTATACATTGAACTAACGTGGGATGCAAAACAATCTCACATGCAATTAATAAATACAACAAAATTACCCAGCCCCGAGAACACATCAAACCTCTTATGGTCAACTTTTCCAATTCGTGCGTTGCACGGTACCACGGTAGGCTTAATGTAACTGCTCACATCGGCACAGTCTGATGTTTCTGACTTACTATTCTTCAGCCGCTGGGTACGGGCGGTCACTGTGTAGTTTCCTCTTTCTAGATGCAACATCTTGCCATTCATGACCTAAAAGTGTACCGTTCGAATTTCCCACTAGGGACTGGAGTATACCTCAACACAGGCCCTGATAATGCCTGGAGTCTTTTCATTGGATCATTGGATGATAGAGAGCAGAAGGAAGATCCTTTGTCAGCTCCTTCACTTCCCGATCATTGCGGAGATGGCGTGGGTCATTGCGGCAGAAGGTTCCGCAGTGCACCACTGTAGCTGTCTTAGAGGCAGCAGAATCCCAGCGCGCTCAGGTGAGAATCTAACAGTTGTTTGAAACGTTCCTCTGTCTCAGCATCAACAACAGAATCCGGCAACCGGATCCAATTAGTCGCCACGCGAGTTGATAAGGCCAAGTTGAGCGGCACACGGAGATTTCTCGGTTTGAACAGTTTCATGCTGTGGCCTCGTGTCGAACTCTCAGTGTTGAGTTGAAAGAAGTCCTGTAACTCGCAACCTAGTTCTCCTCTGAGAATACGTCGAGTGAATATCAAATCTCCTCGGTGACGGCGGTAACCTAGAGAGAACAAGTTCAGTCGTTGAAGTCGGTGTGGATACGACAGGTCTCGCAACTCAGGGACGGATTTGGATCCACGCCGTTGTACTCCATACTCGTCACTCATTATGCAAGTTGTCTCACTCTAAACGTTTTTCTAAAGTCCCGCCTTGTATTGCTCGTGAATTAAGGCCCCATATAAATCGGACGCCATTTGTGGGACATGTTCAAAGCTACACAATCAGCGTCAAATTACTGAAATTATAAAGCGGTCAGGAACCTTTGCACTTTATGGAAGCGCAAGAAAAGACAGAAGTATGGACGTCGCTTGGCCGAAGAATCGATAACCGCACCCAAGCTTTTCTCCTACCTGAAGCATAATACCAAAGCTGGCAATGGAATACCTGCCTTCTTTTCCTCCGAAAATGGCATTATGCTTCATGCAGATGCGCAAAGGCTCAGTTTTTGCTTCGCATTATTCCTCTGTCTTCTCGATGGAAGAACTGTTGCGCAATATCCGTTTCCTTGCGCCTCCCTCCACTCTAGCGCACCTTGAAATCAGCACTGATTCAGTCACGAAACTTCTTCTGGAGTTTAATCCGAATTCCTCACCGGAACCTGATGGGCTTCACTCTGTTTCTCAAAACGGTATCGGAGTACAACGCTGCACATTTTTGTCAAATTTTTTCAGCCATCTGTCGGTGCAAGACATCTCCTGCTTGCTTGGAAATTTGGTATCGTTAAGCCCATATACGAAGGTGGGAATCGTCAGGATCCTGGGAACTATCGCCGATTTGTTTAACATCCAGTGTGTAAAATCAGGGAGAGCATTCTCAAGAGAGCGTTAAATCGCCATATAGATAACGCGAATGTCATCGCTTCCATGCAACATGGCTTCCAGAGTGCACGCTCGTGTGCCTGCAACCTGCTTGTGGCCAGAGAAAGATGTGCTACATGTTTGATTGCCGGCAATTACCAGGTCGTCTGTCTACTTCAGAAAGGCATTTAATAAAGTCCCGGACGAACGTCTTCTCCTTAAACTTCAAAGTATTAGTGTTTCTGGGGACATTCTCTCTTGGATCGCCAATTTTTTGAATGACCGTAGTAATAATGCTAATAATAATTGGTATATTTCTCTTTACATGAGTAGCTGCTTCCATATTTGGCCCAGATCAAACATATACAGGTAGTACCATGCACTTGCATGGGCAATTTGAATTTGTGGTGAATAAAATACAAAGGTATATCTTTCCTCGGTGCGAGGTACGGCCCAACTGGATATTACGATTTTTAGTGTACAGGAAAATCGAAAGGAGCTGATGTCATATTTTTCGAATTTCCCAAATCAGTCCTCAAGCCTTTCTGCGGACTTAGCTAATTGGTCCGTTACATATCTCGGGAGGTTTGTGACGTTTTCGAAGTGTAGATAAATAAAATGTATGGGTGATGTAAAACGGCCATTACTGGGGCCGCCTCCTGCGGACCTTCTTCCATGCGGGTTATTCTCTCGATGGATTTCACTCGCACTTCCATGCCCTATCTGGCCGTGTGCCGGTGTGACTTTCAAAGCAGGTAAGCCATCACTTATGTAAATCATTTTCATGGCTGTTTTTGTATATAGTGTGGACAGTCAAGCCACCTAGCTCGTACCATCAGCTGGTTTTTTGAGTAAAGTACTTTTTTTATCGCCAGGGAATCGATGGCAAGACGACTTGCATGGGTATCATTATTAGTGTTGGAAGCTTAAAATCCGTCACCTCAGGAGATCGACCCGGTCGTGGTCAACAGTGAAGTGAAGAAAAATATAAAATATGTGCGCAAGAGAGACTGCTAAATTGTGCAGGGGAATTGTCAAAAACGGATGACTGCTCGGAGTATCGATTTGCCAGACAGTTCTGAAAAGGTTTCAGATTCATCATTTCCTTGCGTTCGAAAAGTACAACAATTGCTAGCGTTGAGCAATAATACTGATTCTGGACTGTCGCCTCCGCGACAGAAGTAATATGTAACATTACAGTAGGAGTGTGAACAGATAGCCATAAATAAAAAATAAATGAATAGTTTATGTCTCGACAGTGCGGGACACGGACTGTAGGGTTAATCCGATCACACTTGTTATTGAATTGTCAAGAAGGGTTTGCGTTCCATCCGATCGGGGCAGCCGAGATGTATAGGAAGTGATATCGACGGGTTTCGGCAATCGCTCCGCAATTTCTTCATTGATTCCTCCAGATAAAAAAGAGTTAGTTAGAAGTACGGAACAAGATTGTTTTACAAATAAAGTTATGGTAGAAATGGGTTGACTTTGAATCCGAGAATTTTGTCATTTGCTATATGGCGCTCGGCCCTTCTTCATACAACTTGACTATACTCACGTCTGTGTTTAGCATATCCTTCATTTTCTTCACTGTCAATTCCCTGTTAAGTAGAGTACGAAAAACAATGAGTCACGTTCTCAGATGCTGCGGTTAAGAAAGAAATTTGATCTTAAGCTAGTTCGTGCCTTTTCGATTTGTAACATACTATATTCCTTATATTGTACTTGAAGGAAGGCTGAAGTACAACCTCAATGTCTGAGGTATAGACGCGTTTGTGGATTATCTCAAATATGAAGTTCAGGTTATTTTAGTTTCCTTAACCAGAGAGGTTCTATGTTCATTTCACAACAACGATCAGTAGGCAAGATCATCAGGGTTTCTCATTAGGCACTTCGTAAAGTAGCGTTGTATCTCCCACTCTCAGATTGGAGTATGCTAATGAGCAGTATTCAAGTAGAAGACGAATGCGGGTTTTGTACAAGTAGATTTTAGATTCATTTAAAATAAAGGATTTTAGTATTATCTCTCCTAGTTGACGGGCTTTTGCAACCGTGTACTGTGCCTGTTCGTCGAAATTGTAGTAGCTTGAGTAGTGTATCCTAAGCTCACGAATTTTGAGACAGGTGGACAGGACTTTGCCGTCTAGCATCAAAGAATTTGGTGCAATACTGCACCGATAACACACGCAGCCGCACTTCCCGGATGAGTTTTATTTTCCACTTGCTGCACCAAGTTCCCATCTTGTGCAGGCCTGTTTGTATGTCGGCTAATGCGTTAGTAAAATTGTGCAAATCAAACTCATGGACAATTTTAATGTTATTTGCGAATACCTATGGTTTGCCTTGTTTGATGACATCGAAGACGTCGTTAATGTACATCAAAAACAGAAGAGTCCCTAGAACACTTCATTGGATCACGCCACTTGTGACTTTTCTACTCGTGGAAGTATTGCTTAGTAGCTCAATTGCTTGATGCCGACCAGAAAGGTACGATGCTATCCAAGAATGTAAATTGCCAGGTATACACAATGAAGGTACTTTCGGTAGAAGATTTCCATGTGGTACCAGATCGAACGCTCTAGGCATATCAAGAGATATGATGATCGGACGCTTAACACGGTCAATGGAACGAGTAACGAAGTTTAGAAATTGTACTTGACAAGTAATACATGACCGTGTTTTCAGGAATCCTTGTTTGGAAGTATCGCTCAAATTCCGGGACGATAGGACTTCAACAATTTTGGCTTTTATTACTCTTTCCATTGTTCTGCACAGAATGGAGGTGTGGCTGATGGGCAGATAGCTCGTCTGTAGTTGACGTGGGCCACTTTTATATCGTGGTGAAACCAACGCATATTTCCACACATCTGGAACAGCCCCAGACTTCATGGATAACGTAAGATTTTGAAGCAGTATGGGGATATCAGGGCCGTCGAATTTGAGCATAGTAGGTGGTATTCCATCTGTGCCAGGATAAAAGCTCCTTTGCATTGATTTTATCAGAGTTATTAGGTCCGATTACTCAAATACAACACTAAAGATGTGATCTGCAGGTTTGGTGGGGATGTTTGCCATCGGAGTACTGATGTGTTCATTGATTCGAACGGTAGTGGGCAATTCTGCTACCTCCGGTAGCGACCAAATTAAGCAGAAACCTGGGAAATAAATGCTGAAATCGGGCTAAGCAGCTTTAGTAACCTATAAAACTTTAAAAAGTGTGAGGAACTCTTTGATTTTTGCAATCGTTGCTTTGACGGACGATTTTTCAGCTAACTTATTGGGGGCACGGCATACCCGCAAACAATTCCGGCTCAATGTGGGTAGCTCGACACGAGGTCACAGGTGTATGTTGTACAAGGGCCGAATGCGTCCTTCCAGAGATTGTCTTATCAATTTTTGTAGTGGATGATTTAAACCGCCTACCGGAGATCATTGCTATTGCACCGACAGAGGTGTTTCAAACGGCTGCTTGACTGGCATCTGATGAGTACGGCAGGGTTCTGCTGCCCCTACTGCAACTGCAACGATCCGCACAGGAATGCCGTTTTGCAGCCAGCCGCGTCAAGCCCGACTGAATCGAAATCGACGGAGCTGACAAGGGTTTCCTCTTCTGCTCTGTACACACCGATGAACCAATAGGGTAGTGGTCTGGGTTCCGGACTGTTAGCCGTGCGGCCGAGGTTCGAATCTTGTGTGCACAAACTCGCTCCAGCGGTACATATACTAAAATTGCTACGATACCGGGAAGATTGACATGACCCCTGCGCAAGGATGACATACAAAATTTAAAACATTAAAATTGTTCTACCTTTGAATCTCTCCAGGAAGGCTTCTGCTGCATTCCAACATCATTCTTGCACCTCATTCTAGGTTAGAACAACAAGGCATACGTTTGCGCAACATTGCCTACCTGCTTTATTTGCGAGTCAGTTTTCCTTCATTACATACTTTTGAGACAATAGCAAGCTCCCACATTGCTTACTTGGCCTCCATTAACTATGGAGGCTCACGCTGGATAATTACTTTATTCGGGAAAAGCTAAAATCATTAAGAAAAATCTCTTATTTTAGCAATTAATCCATTACCTTCGATTATGCATTGCTTTCGAAGATTCCGGAACCTTTCATTCCTTCACATGATTGTCAGCATACGGAGTTTTGGCAGCGAGGCTGATAATTTTACCAGTTGACATTCGTTTTCTAGAAGTTGAAAGTCATTGAGCTACCCATATATTTGGCGTAGGTCTGGCGTAGTTATACAGCGTTTTGTCGGCTTTTTTGTTAACACGTTTTTGGTGTCAAATTCGTTGGGCTTCTGCTTTTTCTTCGGCTGGGTTAGAATTATTTCAGCGAATTTTTGGATGTTTAATTCGAAATAGTGAGAAAATGTGAAGATCTAACAATGGCTTCGGACAAGCACGAAAATGTTACAAACGTTTCCGCTAAACATTCCCAAAGCTGCTTCTTCAGCAACAATCCCAGATGGAAGCACAAATGAAACTGATTGAAAGTTTGACGCAGGGCTTGAACGTACAGTCAAACGAAGCAGCTACACGGGACATGCAAGCCGTTTCACTTGACCTTACGAATTCAATCACTGAATTTCATTTTGATGCTGATTCTGAATTCACTTTCGACGCGTGGTTCAAACGTTGAGAGGACATGTTCCGGATGGATTTCAGCCGTCAAGTTGATTCATGTGAAGTGCGTCTTTTGCTCCACAAGCTCGGTACTAATGAATATTCGTGATACGTAGACCACATCCTGCCCAAAGAGCTGAAGAACATCATTTTCAACGAAGCAGTGTCAATACTCAAAGAAATTTTCGGTGAGTCAACGTCTTTTTTAAGCATTTTCTACCAATGCCTAAAATTGTTAACGGGATACGGACGATTATGGGGCACTACCAGACATGGTTAACCGTGAATGTGAATGTTTCAAGTTACGCTGTTTGACGGATGACCAGTTTAAGTTCCTCAAATTTTTCAGTGCTTCACAGTTCCCACGCGACGCAGATATCCGCACTCGGCTCCTTGTTAAGATGCATCAGGATCCAGCTTTGACATTAAAGTCTCTTGTAGGCGAATGTAAGGGTTGATCACTTTGAAACACAACACCGCTATGATTGAGCAGAGTCGCCCCACCATTGCCGATACTGTTTGTGCTATGCAAAAAGCAGGAAAGGCTGGTTAGAACAAGCCGTTCAACAGAGCGCCGAACAAGCCGCCTACCCCTTGTTGGTCATGTGGTGTATGACATTTCGCACTATACTGTCCATTCAAGCGTCACATTTGAGGTAAGTGCCATAAGCGCGGCCACAAGGAAGACGTGTCATCAGTCCCGGCCAAGGAACGTGAAGCAGTCCTACCGAAGGAAGAACTTCAGCAAGCCTGACGCAGAATCACTATCGGTGATTGCCACTTTTCATAGCGATTCTAGAACACGCCGCCGATTTATCACTGTGCTCATTAACGGGATCCCAACCAGGCTGCAGTTCGATACGGCCTCAGATATAACGATCATTTTCAAGAACACTTGGTAGCATATAATGAGACCGAAGAGGGTTTATTCCAACAAAGTCGCTTAAAACGCATTCGGTGAAGTGCTGAAGGTGGTCGGAGAAATAACCTATAAAATTACATTCAACGGAATGGAACAGACCGGAACTTGCTACTTGTCTGATCGACCAAACTTGAACCTCCTTGGGCTTGACTGGATGGAAAAGTTACAACTGTTTGATGTTTCAATGAGTCAGATTTTCAATAGAGTCCAACTCCACCCACTCCGTGCGCCATTGTCGATAGAAGACATGACGAGCAAACTAAAGTAGAAGTTTGCCTCCTTGTTTGAATTTGGTCTCGGTCATCGCACTAAGTTCAAAGCAGAGTTGTGCATTCGCGAAGGAACCAACCCAGTCTTCAGAGGATAAAGTCCACTGTTGTATGCAGCCATGGCAGCAGCTAATCAGGAGCTCGACCGACTGGAGCGCGCCAGTGTCATCACACCAGTGAACTACACTTCATGTGCTGCACTGATTGTTGCTGTGAGAAAGCCGAATGGTAAAGTGCGTGTCTGCGCCGATTTTTCGACTGGCCTGAATACCACACTGGACGACTATCAGTACCCCCTTCCGATATCAGAGGATATCTTTGTCAAGCTGAATGCTGGAACGTATTTCACCAAGCCCGACTTGTCCGATGCCTACCTCCAGGTCGAGGTTGATGAAGGCTCGAGCGAATTGCTGACCATCAACACTCATGGTGGCTTGTACCAGTACAATCGCCTCCCTTTCGGCGTGAAAACAACATCAACCATCTTCCAGCAGCTGATGGGCACCATGCTCTCGGGAGTTTCTGGAGCCGCGGCATACCTGGATGATATCATTTTAATGAGTCGGACGGCAGAGCTATTTGAGCGGCTCGCTGAAGTGCTTGAACGCATCCAGTCATATAGTTTCCGTATCCGTGGAGACAAGTGTACCTTTTTTACACCAACCATCAAGTTCCTCGGCTTCATTTTCGCAAAAGACGGTCGTCGCCCTGATCCAGAAAATACCCGAGCTATTTATTACATGCCCCCGCCTGCCGACTTGCAATCGCTGCGTTTATTCTGTGGCCTAATTAGTCATTACAGCGCTTTTCTGCCCGAACTGCATCGCCTGCGTGCTCCGCTGAACAAGTTGCTGAGCAAGGACCGAAGCTGGAATTGGGCGTCAGAATACCAGACTGCGTTTGAGCGGGTCAAGTCATTACTGGCTTCACACCTACTCCTGACTCACTTTGCTCCGTCCCGAGAAATTCTCCTTGCCACATACGCATCAAGTCTAGGGATTGGTGCCGTAGTTTCCCATACGTTCCTAGGTGGATCTCAGAATACGATTGCACATGCCGCCAGGACAATGAGGAGAAGCGAAACTACAGTCAGATCGAGAAGGAGGCATTGGCCATAGTGTTTGCTGTGAAGAAACTTCCCAAAATATTTTATGGTCGCCGCTTCAAGCTCTTGACGGATCACAAGCCGCTGCTAGTCATTTTCGGCTCGAAGAAAGGAACTCCTGTCTGTACAGCCAATCGACTCAAACGATGTGCTTTCATTTTGCTGGGCCATGCTTTTGAAATCCGTTATCAGTCAACTGTTTCGATGGGCCAAGCAGATGCGTTGTCACGCCTTATTGATTCCCAGCAGCAGGAACACGAGGACACCATCATAGCCTCAGTTGAGATCGAACCTGACGTCAAAATCTTGGTGAGCGAGGCACTACATGGTCTGCCAGTTACGGCCGAAGCTGTGCGGACCGAAACGTTTCGAGATCCAATTCTGAAGGTTACACACTTCCACAGAACCAGCTGGCCACGTTCGTGCTCATCTGCCGAAATGCAGCAATTCTATCAGCGAGGATATTCGCTCTCCATGGTGATCGATTGCGTCATGTTCTCAGAGAGAGTAGTCACTCCGCAGACGTTGCAAGAAAGAGTGCTGCGGCAGTTTCATGCTCGACCGGATGAAAGCGCTTGCCCGAAGTTGCGTATTGGCCGTTTATGGACAGACAGCTGGAGCATCTAGCTAGGTTGTAGCAACTGCGCTACCGCTTCAAGGGCACCACCGAAGACTGTACTCTACTCGTGGCCCAAACCAACTAAACATTGCTGCCGTGTTCCTGTCGACTTTGCAGGCCCAATCAATGTCCAGAACTTTCTCATAGTGGTCGACGCTTAAAGCAAATGGCCCGGTGTCCTTCATGAGCAGCAAGAAAACCAACGCAACGGTCTCAAGGTTGCGACAAGTCTTCAGCAACTTCAGCTGCCCTAAAACATTGATGGCGAACTATGTAGCACCGTTTACTTCGGCCACATTCACGGGGTTCTGCAAACGCTGCGCCATCAAACACGTACGGTCTCCACCATTCCACCCACAGTTGAACGGCCAAGCGAAGAGATTTGTGGATACATTCATACGCGCTCTCCTCATATCAAGGCGGGAGATATAGAGGAGGTGATCGACCGCTTCCTCTTTCTGTACCGATCTACACAAAATCCACAAACACAGGGTGGAATATCACCAGCAGAGGTAATGATGAAGAGAAAGCTTCGCATGCCCTTTGATGCAGTTCGGCCGTCCTCAGAGCCAACAGCTGATGAAAGGAGCCTCAAGATGGAATGTGATTTCAGTCGGCGGTATGGTGCCAAGCGACATTCGTTTAAACCGGGTCAGCCAGTACTTTTGCGTGATTACCGGGAAAGACACGCAAAATGGACTCCAGACACGATCCAGGGCAAGCGCGGGAACGTCATTTACGACGTGCTGGTTGGAACGCAGGTACGGGTAAGCCATGCAAACCAACGGCGACCAACCCTTTGTCAGCCACAAGCAACAGAATCTGCCGAGCTTCCTTTTGACCTGTTGACGGACAGCCTCAATTTTCCCAGAGAGCCCGAGAGAGGGCCCTGTTATCAGAAGAATGATTCCCGACCGCAGTGCACGGAACTCGAGTCCAGAACACTACAGCCAACGCGATGGACCGATAGGCATAGAACACCTACCAGGAGGCCTCAGATCAAGACCAGGCTATCATCATACACCGCAGCAGACGTTGCAGGAGGGGAGATATCCGGGGAAAGGCAAAAACATCACGCGAAACCCATTATTTTAGCAATTGATCAATTATCTTCGATTGTGCTTTGATTTCGAAGATCCCAGAACCTTCCATTCCTTCACGTGATTGCAAGCATATGGAATTTTGGCAGGGTGGCTGATAATTTTACCAGTTGCCATTCGTTTTCTAGAAGCCGAAAGCTATTGAGCCACCCATATATTTGGCGTAGGCCTGACGTAGTTGTACGGCGTTTTGGCGACGTTTTCGTTAACACGTTTTTCGCGGTCAAAGTCGTTGGACTTCTGCTTTTTCTTCGGCTGGATTAGAATTATTTCGGCGAATTTTTGGGTGTTTAATTCGGAATGGAGAGAGAACGTGAAGATCTAACACACTTAATGCCTCGCATCTTGAAGTTTATGCGGTTTCACGGGATGTTTAGTGTCCACTTACGGCATAAAATTGCTCATATCCTTTCCTGTTAAGCCGAAATCCGTGGTAGTACGATTTAAAGATTGAATGCCCGCCGTTCTCTTCTCTACCATGTGCATTCCGATGTTCGGGGAGTAGAAGAATTGTCCACTACCGATTCGAACGCCTGGATTTCGATGTGTCCAACATAGCTGTCTCTACAGCTATATGTGAATTTGTTTAAGTAATGGAGCGTGCACTGCTTTGACACCTGTCTCCACAGAACACTTAAGTAGTGATTTTATGCTCACGAGCACGCCTATTTCTGCTTCATTGTCTTTTATTGTTACGCTTTGAAAGACAACTCAATGAAAACTTGTTTCTTTTAAACCGTTTTATCAACTCACTGAAGCGCTTAATGAACTGAAATGGATAACCATTAGGTTATAGCACGTCAAACAGCATTCCTTTCTCTGCTTTCAGTGTGTCAGTGGTGCAAATTATATGAGCCCGGTGGAGCAAAGTTCGAACCAAAGAGCGCTTGTGACCCATTGGTGAGAAACTTAAAATATAAGTATTGATCCGTACAGGTCGCCTTCCGGTAGACTGCTGTTTTGCTCGAATCACCTGATCGTCGTGTGAGCAGTATGTCTAAGTATGGGAGACAAGTGTCGTGCTCAGTTTCAGATGTCACAGTAAGATTCTGATGCGCATCGATGAAACGTGATCCAGAGATAACGGTTCAAAGGAAACAGTTTTTCTTTGAACCGCCTTCCAAAGTTGATCACCTCATGAAAGTCACCGCTAAAAGAATTAGTGCTTTAATGAAGAAGACACAATGCAGCAGAGAAACGCTTGCTCGTGGCTACAAAACCATTACTTAAGTGTCCTTTGAAGACAGGTGTTGAAGCAGTGCACGTTCCATTGGCAATACAACTTCACATGTAGCTGTTGAGATGGCTATGTTGGGCGCACTGCTCGAAATCCAGACGTTCGTATCAATGAACACATTCCAGTGGCTCCGAAAACAGATGGGGCATGCGACGGTTTCACCCGGTGAATTTAGAAGGGAAGTTGCCTCCGCAGTTACGAGGCATTTGACGAGCACCGGTTACCAGGTAAACCTAGATGAGCCTCACAGTTCTCATGCGCAATCAAAGGCTTCACATACTCAAGCTACTCGAGGCTATTGTTATCGATCGACAGCGCCCATCACTATGTCCAAAGACAGCTGACAGTGATACTAAGTCTACCATGGTAACGTACAACTCATCAGTCGGAATGCAGTTGACCATTACTTGATTTTATGTGACATTATTTTGCATCCCTTGTTAGTTGCATGTATGTGGCTGGCGATTATGCACGAAATGACAGTGTCATCCACAATCTTCATCTTTTGACATTTTTAGGCTCTTTCTACCCTCACGTTGCAGTCTGTTCTCCAGTAGTAACCATGTACACGATGTACTTATATTACATATATTTATGGTCACTTTATTTCAAAAGTCTGCAAGGCTTACATTCACATCGTTCACGTTTGTCTTATTAGGCCTCCACGAAGCAGTTAATTCGTCAACTCCGTCAATCTTCCACGTTGTATGTTGGAAATCTATCTTTTTACACTCGAGAGGAGCAAATCTGGGAGTTGTTTAGCAGAGCTGGCGAAGTCAAACGTGTCATCATGGGCTTGCACCGATTTTCCAAAACCCCCTGTGGCTTTTGCTTCGTGGAATACGTAACCCGCGAGGGTGCGGAAATGGCCATGCGTTACATTAATCGAACTCGTCTCGATGATCGCTTGATACGAACGGATTGGGATGCAGGGTTTGAAGAGGGTCGGCAATATGGCCGCGGCCGTAGCGGTGGTCAGGTAAGTTTCCTTATAGCTACATTTTTGCCATCTTTTCACTAACCAGAGCCAGATAGCTTGCCATGACCATATTCACTATTTATATCCTTTGCCACGTATTATAGAAAACCTGTTACTTGCTTGCTTGGATTCACCGTGCTCAGTCCTGTTTCTTCGAAGGGCGCTTGTCGGGCCACGCTACTCCGCCCTAGATGCGTTATTGCACTTATATCAAATGCTCTTATGTATTGAAGTGCAACGTATGCCGCATGTCATTCTCGGAGACGTCCTTCAGCCTGACTCGACTCTTGTTTCTCGTATCCAGTTAGTATCTGTTAACCAACTATTACCCAAGCAGCGAAGTGCAATAGATCCAGCTATCGTGGTTCTCGATGCCAAAGTACTTTAGAAGAGAGTCCGCAGACGGTAATGCATCGAAAAAGAGATGGCAAGTGGTATAGTTATCGATTAAAATGTTGTAAGTATACGGAAACGACCGTCATTTGCACTGCCCGGTTACGCCTTATTTTCACTTACACGCACATGCTACATTTCCAGCTGATATATAACTCAATAAACGGTTGGCAGTGCTACAACACATGGGCAACGGCAAGGCAACAAAGAGTGGAGAAAAAGCAGTCAGCAGAAAGTCACACAACACGTTCACCATCGGATACGACTCCGGGCTGTCTGATAGCAATTGAGAAATTGTCCCAGCCCTCCGTCAGTTAAGTCTATCAAGACGCGCTGCGTGCCGAACTTTCGCTGTCTTGTCCTAATGACATTGAACTTCAGTCGAATAGGGTGTCGGTCGCTATGCACGATGCAGCAGCATCTGCTTGTGGCACTATCAATCGTTACCGCACCAGTCACTGAATATCCGAGGGGTCGGTGAACCTGTGGGAATCCAGAAGAAACCTCCCGGTTTACTCTGAGCACAATTTGACCAGACGGATTATTAGGTGCGAATTAAAGCGGATTCTGCGTGGAGTCTGGTGGACTAGTCGACCTTAAGAAATGCAGGAGGCAGGAGCGGTCGGCAATTACCGCAAGCTCTTCCAGCTGGTCCACACCACTGGACCCAGGAAATCAGACGTCAGTGAGAGAATCAGGGACAACGCGGATGCGCTGATACACAACAAGGAGCGCCGTATGGCTCATTGGGCGGAACACTCGCAAGATCAGTTCAGCTGGTTCCCTGCTCCCTGACTTCTTCCTGCTCAGGGTATGCAGGACAAAGCATGGACGGTTAGTTAAGAGCCGTCGGAAGCCGAGGTCGGAAACGCGATCACAGTTCTCAATCGTTTTCGTTCCACTGGCCCGGATTCCCTCCCTCCTGCGATTTTTAAGGATGGAGGTGAGGTCCTCTGCAATGTACTGACCTTCCTATTCGAACATATCTGGAAGGAAGCGTTCCGGCTAACTGGATTGAATCGATTATAGTGGCAATATACAAGAAGGGCAGTCGCACAAACTGCTACCCACAGAGGTATTAGCCTAAAGCCAGTTGTGACAAAATTACTGGCCTCGATTCTCGTTCCTCGCCTCACTGTGGAATCGGAATCTCGGATTAGGGAAAAGCAAGCAGGTTTCCGCCCAGGACCTGGCTGTATAGACCATATATTCATTCTGCGGCAGGTGCTAGAGCAGCGCCACGCATACCGCAGACCAACAATAGCTGTGTTCCTCGATTTCAAGAGTGCGTTCGATTCAGTCGATCGATGCATTCAGTTCGAAATACTTGCGCGGAAAGATGTTCCCACGAAATATGGGAACATCTTACGTGCTCTATACTCAAACACTACCGGCCACATCAGGCTCTATGGTGATTTGTCGGATAGATTTCCGACCACAACTGGTCGTCGTCAGGGTTGTCGGATTTCCCAGTTTTTGTTCAATTTTGTCGTTGACTGTATCATGGAGTGTTCCCTCGCGGGATCTCACGATGTAGGCGTTGAGGTTCTGCTTTGTGAAAGATTAGTTGATCTTGATTATGCGGACGCTATCGTCTTGCTTTTTGACGATGTTGCGGCGGCCCCATCAACCCTGAATAGCCTGTCTAGAGTGGTCCCATTATTTGGTATGCGCTTCGCATCTTCGACATGCAAAGTGTTGCTACAGGACCTTCAGCCACTTGATAACTCCTTGACCCTTGATAACGAGGAACTCGAGGTGGTTGATCGATTTGCTTACCTTGGCAGCTGCATCAGTCACGATGGACACATAGAAAGTAACTTAGTTCACACATTGCAAGAGTCAGAATTGCCTTCTTGAACCTGCGGCATCTTTGACGACAGAACGGGGGTTTCCCTTCGTCTGGAAGACTGAGTTTACAAGGCCACAGTGAGGGCTGTTCTACTATGTGGGAGTGAGACTTGGCCCCTTGGTCTGATGATCCGAGACACCTTCAATTCTTTGATTATCGTTGTCTGCGGAGCATTGCTGGCGTCGAGTGGTACCAGCGTGTCTGAAACGATGATGTGCATAGGCGAATACTAGGTAGTGATAATCATACTAGCTCCTTAAAACAACAAATCACACTGAATAAGTTGCGTTGGCTTGGGCACGTGCTACGTTTGTCTGGTCACCGCTTTCCTAGGAGGGCCATGTTTAGTCTTCCAGGTGTAGGGTGGCGCAAAGCTCGAGGTGGACAGAAGCTGACTTGGTAGCGGAAAATGAAGTCACTGACGACCAAACTGGGTGCCGTTGTTCCGTTTCGTCTTCCGGGCTGGAGTCTACTTGACCCGTTTTGGGCTTACCTCGAGATTTTACAGGACATGGCTCGCAGTCGACGCCAGTGGCTCGTCTCCTGCCATCTCCTACCGGATTGCCATTTAAAATGTGTTTGGTGATGTGTTATCTGCGGGATAATGGCTGATTATGACGCGAAGCAGTGAAGGCCGCAAGAAAGCTGTCTCAGCGATGCCGCCTCATCTTTGCACGGTAGCCAGCTGTTTGTGACGGTATGTTGCTAACGCAAGGTGTATGCGCCTTGACCCAGAATGTTTACTTAGGGCATTAAGGTTTTCAAGTAAGTTCCCGGTTTCTCCCTCTTATTGTTCTTTATTCCTAAAGTCATCATGGTTGCATGGCATCGAAGCATCAGTTGAAATGACTGACGTATTGTTGTTGATGGTTATGTTTGACAGCGTATGCAACCAAGTGTGCTCACTGTCCTTGGGATCCCAACTGGGTGTCTGTAGCGCCCCACCGTACCTAACTGCAGTGTCGGCTTCTTGCCACCACGGACTCAGATTGCAAGTTGACCACCTCTCCGTCGCTTCCAACCAACGCCGGCGCATGTAATCAAAGTGCTGCGGAGCAACCGTTGAGCAGGTTTACGGTGAACGTGCCGGAGCGCACGCAAGGCCATTATGCAGCTCAGTGGCCGGCGGAGACTGTCTGATTTGTAGGCCCAACGTCGAACGTTATCGTTACTAGTGCGATGCTGCAAACGTACACCAGCAATGCTCCGGAGGCAGTCTTGATCAAAAGCAGACAGTCTTTGGACTTGCTTGAACGGGCCAGGTCTCACAGCCATACAGAAGCACTGCTCGTACTGTAGTGTTGTAGACTCGATCTTTTAGAAAGGTTGAGGTCACGCCGGCACCAGAGATGTCGGAGGTCGGTAAAAGCAAATTGGTCTCCGTCGATCCTGATGCAACTCCCGAGGTAAACGAATCTCTCGACTACTTCCAAAGTAGCAGCTTCTAGCCAGTCCTGGAAGGGACAAACTTCATACCGAACTGTGATACGTACATCTCCAATCTGCGCAGCATATTCTGGACAGCATGCGAGAAGTCACAGATTACGGCGATGTCATCAGGATACTCCAAGTCACGGAGCCGATCACCCGGGAGTAACTCGACGCCACCAGGACCACAGTTTCCCAGAGCACTCTAAGATGTCACCCATAGCGAAGTTGAACAATAAGGATGATACAGAGCAACCCTGTCTCACCCCACTAGTGATGCTAAAGCTAGGTGCGGAAATCCACCTTACACCCGCACTCGGCCCGAGGTTTGTGAATGAATACTTTGAAGTATGTTAATATGCCTCACAGGTACTCCCCTTCTCGTCAGATGACTCCAAAGAGTGGCTCTGTCAAACGGGTCAAATGTTGCACGTATGATAGGGCGGCTGAAAGCTCGACGGTGCTCGAGCATGTGGCGGATCGTGAAGATGTGATCAATACAGCCGCAAACTGGGTGAAACCCAGTACGTACTCGATTGAGCCTCCGTAAAAGCAGGGAAGCTACCACTTTGAACGCAACGCATAGAAGGCCGATCCCTCGGTAGTCTGTGCAGTTCGTTCGGTCACCTCTTGGCATGACGTCCGTTAAGCTCCAATCGGATGGGGTGATTTCTGCGGCCCAAATCTCTTGAAGAAAGGTGGTCAATTCAGAAAGGAGAGACGGGTCTCCATCCTCAAAACAAACCGGAGGCAGTTAGTCGGGACCGTGAGAGTTGTGGCGTTTCAGAAGACGATGCTCATAGGAAACCTCAGCCTCAGATGGCGGAGTGGTACTTACACACCAGGGAACATCGTGGATACAAGAATAGCAACTCGAGGGCATTGGTGGCCAGTTGAACTGCCGTTCGAAGTGCTCTGCCCAACGCACGAATCGGCGCTAGTGATTACGAATTGGTTCACCGCTGATTTCACATACCACGTCGCTTATCTGTTTTTTTACCACCAGTGGATCGAATAAGAGAGGAGTCTGCGAAAGTTCCCCGAGGGTGCAGCATCTTCCGTTTCGTTGATACGCTGCGTCCGTCAAGATTCGCGATCTTTCCTAAGTAGCTGTTTCAGCTCGGCCATGGTGGCTCTGTGCATTGAGTTGTACTCAACATCAGCAAGAATTGTCCGGCGGTCTTCCATCAGTTGAACAAATTGAGCGGAAATCCATCGGTTGAAGGTGTGCTTAGTGAAACCGCAGATGACGCTGACGGACTTGTGTATGGCACTCCGAATATGTGTCCAAAGCGCCTCAATACTTGGGAGTGGAGGACTCTTCAGATTAGAAGCTAGCGAGTTCTCCAAGTCACTGAGCATATTTGAAGCGACAATTTTGGCTACACCAAGCCGTTTCCGACGACGCTGTTGGGTGCCACCAAATAGGAGAGCAACTTTAGTACGTACAAGTACCTGTACCTCACCTGATAAGAGGTGAGATAAGTACTTAAAGTTGATTTGCAGTCTGTTATATAG